TTTTTTTGTCTTTTTGAGACAGGGTCTTCCTGTGTAGTTCAGGCTGGCCTTGAGCTCACTTTGTAGCCCAGGCTGGCCTCGAACTTACAACGATCCTCCTGCTTCAGCCTCCCGAGTGCTGGAATTATAGGTGTGTGCCAGCACACCCGGCCAAGCCATAGCCATCTCGATCACATTATTTTATCCCAAATTCTGCATCTGTAAAATGAGAACACTGCCCTCATAAGAGTCTTATGGAAAGTAAGTAAGATCAAGTACAGAACAGCTTATGAAATATCTAGTTCAGTGGGTCCCAGGCTCCTTTGCCCCTCAAACCCCAAGCCTCCTGCTTGTCCTGAAGCCCCTGTAAAGCTCCTGGCTGAGCTCAAGACCTTTAAGACAGTTGCGCAACAAGAGCCACGCAGGAAACAGAATGGCTACTTTGTTTAGGCTCCCGCGTAGGATGGGGTGGGGAAGGTATTTCCAAACCTTCCTGATTGATTCGGGAGACTTTTCCCAGTTGCTCAAGCCAGAAACCTGGGCGGCATTCTTGGTCTGTCCTCTTGGAATCACCACTCTAAATTTCTAAGTTCTGCTCTTTGTTCTGAAGATCGTCCACTTCCTTCTGGGTGTTTCCAAGGCTTCAGCCCAAGTCACCGGTGTCTCTTCCCTGGAAAAGCACGGTGGCTTCCTGCAGGGGACAATCTTCAGTAGTGCCCCCAGGAAGCAGAGCACTGTCTCCGTGCGAGTCTTAGCAAGTCACTCTGCTGGGTAAAAGCCCTAACTGTTCGACAGCCAAGGAGGGAGCCTTAACTCCTCAGCGTGGCTTGGCTTCCTGTGTGGACTCAGAGCTACTTTTCCAGCTTTCTCTCTCCACCCGCCCCTCCGCAGCCCAACCCGAACTCCTGCAGGCTCTGAGCCTCCAGGAGCAGTCCCCGCCCCAAAGATAACTCAGTGTGGCTGGGGGGCTTCTTGGGGGGCCTTTTGGTGCTAAACCTGGGACGCCCCTGGGCAAACCAGAATGCTTGAGTTGCTTTAGGTCTGAGTCTCCTATTCCTTCTCAAGGACACCGCTCCCTCACCCCACCTCACTTCCTGTTTGCTCCTAAGCACGGCTCATCTCTGGGTTTCTGCCTGGATGTCTCTTCTGCAACTCAACACCCGGAGGCTAACACCCGGAGGCTCCTTTGTCCCCTGGATGAGCTTCCGCTCCTGCAGCCAGCATTGTATTACAGCGCCTGCTTTACTTCCCCGACATAATAAGCCCATTGAAAAGCAGGACAGGTGTTTCCCTCACACCCACACATACACCCTCTGATCATGGGTTCTTTGTCCTTGGCTCAGCCAACCAGGAATCAAAAAATTAGGAGAAGCAAGTTATGTTATTGCTGACATGTGCGATATAGTTAGGCCTACGTGGTTACATCTGTTCTGAATAGAGCGTCTTTTCTTGTCACTGTTTCCCAAACAATACACAGAAAAACTATTTCCATAGCATTAACACTGTATAAGTGATTCTGAAGTATCTAGAGCTGGGTGTGGGTGGCACTCGTCTGTAATGCCAGCAGTTGGGAGGCTGAGGCAGGAGGATTGTGAGGAGTTGAAGGTCAGCCTGGGCTACATAGTGAGTTCAAGGCCAGCCTAAATTACAGAGCAAGACTGTCTCAAAGAACCCAAAACAAACGTATCTAGAAATGATTTAAAGTACACGGGATGGGATAGGATGTAGCTCAATGGTAGAGCCCAGTGCTTAGCATGCAAAAGACCTTGAGCTCAAGCCCAAGCACTAAATGAAATAAAAATAAAGTATATGAGAGGATATGGGTAAGACTTGAGCATCACTTGATTTTTGAGGCCATGGTTGTCCTAGAATGAAACACTGTAGATTCTGAGGGGCAGCTGTATTCCCAGAATCTAAAGTGCCAGCGTAGAGTCTGGCACACAGTAGGTATTCAAAAAGTTTTGCTAAAATGAGGAATAGCAATATCTTTTTCAGGTGTTGTCCAGTTCGTGTCACTGTGTCACGACCTATGGACAGGTAAGGGTCACACAGGGAACCATCTGGAAGCCAAGAGTGTATTCCAAAATGTTTGCACACATTTCCCATCCCACATATTCTTCCAGAGCCTCCCAGTGCCCCTGAGTCTGTGTCCCTTCTGTTTGAAGTTGGAAAGTTGGATGAGTGTCTCCAGCTAAGGATGGGAGAAATGACTGTATGAGACTCCCAAGACTGGTACCCCAAAGGGGATTGGGGTTCCACCTGGCTCACTCCCATTCTGTGAGAGCCCCAGGCCACGTGGAGGGGAGCAGAGACTCCCCGTACAGCCCTAGCTTATCGACCGGTATACGGCAGCGCCTTCCAGCCAAGGGTGTCCGCCATCTTGGAAGTGCGCATGCAGCCCGCTGAGGAGAGGGCCCAGACCATGCCGCGGGGTCAGAGTTCAGCTTCGGGCAGAGCCTGGCCCAGAACTCAGATTCACAGGAAAAACAACAGATTTCTCGCAGCAGCAAGTAAGGTGGGGCTGGCTTTTCCACAGGAATAGACAAATATAGCTGAAGACGAGCTGCTGCTGCTGCTACTGGATGAAGCCTTCTTTCCCTTGAAAGGTCCTTGGCCAGAAGTTCTTGGTTTATTCCACAAGGAACCAGGGGCAGACTACAGCCTGGCCCATTCAAACATCTACTCGTAATGTGACTGGCTCCTGATGTAATCTAAGGGTACCCTGGGCCAAAAAGGGACAGACATGCTGGGCTCCAGGCCACGCCAGCTTCTATATCTGCCCATAGCTCTTGGGAGTGGACCGTACGGCTTGGTCTTCCTGAGTAGACACCCTTCCTGCTGGCCATCTGCTGTGCCATGGGAAGGATACAGGTCTCAGTGCAGGGTGACACATTAGTGTCACTCTGGGCGGTGCCAGACGCTGTATGCTGGGCTACACCTCCCCAGGCTACCGCGTTAAACCAGTCAAAATATGTACACAGTCTTAAAGTACAAGAACAGAAGGGTTCAGCATGATGGGGTTGGCAAACGCCTCTCTTCCCTATGATTCTGCTCTACCTAGGTAAACACATACCCTATAATGGTAACTTTGAGGGCCCTGCCATGGCTCCAGGGGGTAAGTAGGTTCGTTTAGAGTATATAACTAGTATTTGCAGCTAAGTGACATTTCCTGTTTTCTAGTGACTGAACCCATTTGGATGAAGGAGGGGTAAGAAAGTGTAGGGGGAGAGCAGGTCGGCTGGCGCCCCTCTTCCCACCCTGCTGGGTCTTGGGTGGACAGTGGCAGGGGCCCTTCACCCCGCAGCACACATCCATCAGGGGGCCCTGCTCCCATGGCTGTGGCTCCTACTGCTTCTGGGAGCTCCATTCTGTCCCCTTTGCCACTTCTGCTTTGCCAGGGCCCGGATGTCTCGCTGTCCCTTCTTGACTCTCCTAAGATGCGCACTAGGGGCTGGATCCTGTCCCCGGCATGTTGCTATGCTGAAGTCCTAACTCCTGTGTCTCTGGAGGGGACTGTGTGTGAGAGGAGCCTTGAAAGGTCTCAGGGCTCCGCGAGGTGGTCCCAGTATGACTGGGTCCTTAGAAGAAGAGATTAGGACACAGGCACACACCGAAGAGACCACGGAAAGGCACGGCATGAAGGCCATCTGTGAGCCAACCACACGGGCCCGCTGACACCCTGGTCTCGGCTTCCGGCTTCCAGAACTGTGAGGAAATAAACTCTCATTGTCAAAGCTGCTGCCTGTGGGCCTGCCCTTGCAAACTCAGCCCCTGGGACAAAGAGCTCTGTCCTAAAGCTGCCCAAGGAGCCCTGGGGGTGCTGTCATTTCCTTCTGGACGCTGCCTCAAATGCTCAGTATTACCAATGGCCACCCAGAGTCCCTTCATCAACCCCAAAGTACCTACCTCCGTGCTCTAGGTTATTTGTCAAGGTTTATGCCGTGAGATCAAACCACGGCTTCCCACGTGCTAGGCAAGCACTCTGGCCCTGAGCTACACCCCAGCCCTTTTCATTTCACTTGGAGACGGGGTCTCTAACTTGCCCAAATGGGCTCGCATTTGCAATCCTCCTGCCTTGGCCTCCCGAGTATCTGGGATTATAGGGGTGCACCACTCTGGCTTGTACCATGAATTTATTTTTAACTGAAATGCTGTAGGACTCACGTTCACCACAAAGTACTCAAAAAGGTTTCTGATAGACCAGCCGGTGGAAGCCAGTTCTCCACCGTGTAGAGCATCTTGTCACTCCTGCAGTGTCCTTTCCGTGTTCAGATCAGCTTGGCTTCGGGAACCTGGGTGGGGAGCGACTGAAGTGCGGGGTGTCTCTGAGGTGCTGCGAGGATTTCAGCTGCTGCTCCGGGGGTCAGGGTCCCATAGACGATGAGGAGGCCAGGCACAATGTGCTGGGGCTCTTAGAGGCGAACTGGGACTTAGGGACATCTAGGGAGGAAGAAGGTATCATTAAAGGGAGGTTATTGAAACATCAAGGGAAGCTTTCTAATTACACTTCTTGCAATGATATAAAACAACTTTATGAAGTCACAGGGCTGGATGGGACGTATAGAGATTTCCCAATTCTCCTCCCCCAGCTGCATGCAATCTTCGCCTTGAAGTACCAATAAATTCTTCCGTCTGCAAAACGCATGCACCGACATCGTTTCATTTGAACCTCAAGACCTGTCCGAGGTACACTGGAAGATGGCGACGCTCTTCACCTTAAAAATAAATGCAGCCGGTGGACAGGCCCTGCGGTGGGTGAGTTCACACAGCTGAGGTGTCACAGCTGCTCCGGGGACTTGAGGTTCACAGACATGGCCCCAGCACAGTTCCCTCGGTTCCCACACCGTCATGTGTACACACACACACACACACACACACACACACACCGAACTCACAGCGAGAAACGATTGCTCCTCGATGACAGCTGGCCGCGTCCAGGGAAGGGCAGAGCGCGGAGAGAAAAAACAGGAACAATACGAGCTGAGCTTGCGGGGGAGACGGCGAAGGGCTTTTTCAAGCTGGCCCTGCCTGGCTCCCACTGTGTGGACTGACCTCAGAGGGTTGGCGGAGCGGACCCCGGCCTCCTCCAAACACAGCATCCCGCCAGGCCCTTCCTCGGCTCGGAGGTGAATTCGGGTCTCATCCAGCCGCTTGGATCTGGGAAAAGCCCACTGGGGACTCCCATGGCCTGGGACCTGGCTGGCGTTGGCCTGTGTTTGCTATTTCTTGCGCTTTCCACTAAGTCCCTGGTTAGCCCAGGGAGTCCCGCCTCCCCCACACCTGCCGGAAGCACTCCTTAGTCCTGCCGGCCGAGGCCCACCTTCTCCCGGAAGCTTGCATGTCTCACCCTGCGGGATTTCTCCACCAGTCAGATCCCGGAGCTGTAACTATTCAGTATCTGGACGTCACACTGACCCTCCACCATATCTTGGACATTACTGTTCCCGTCTGAAAGTGCTGCTGTGTCTCCTAAGGAGAATGGGAGTTCTCTATGAACAAAACTGGAATCATTTCCTTTGCTGACTCTATGGGCGCCTGCGGTAGGAGGTCCTGGCAGGGTTGATGGTGATTTTGTCTTGGAAAAAGTGGATAAAAACGATGTTAAAGTAGCAAGTGGTAAAGCTGGGTATGATGTAATTCCAGCATTTGGGAGGCTGAGGCAGGAGAATCGCTTTGAATTTGAGGCCAACCTGAACTACATACCCTGCCTTGAAAAACCAAAACCCAAAACAAAACTAACAAAAAAGTAGCAAATGGTTAAACCTGAAGAGTAAAAGGAAAAATGGGAGTTGACTAACCCTTGCTCACGTGACGATTTCGGTGTTAAGACCGCATGGAATAAGCATTTTCAGTGCTGAGCTAGATTAGCAAGAGGAAGAGAATGCACAGGAATGTCCCGCCTGTGCTCTGGGAGATGAAGATAAGGAAGACGCCGCGTGAAGAACCCTGGCTGCCGGGGAAGCAAGAACGGGCTCGCCCCCTCTCTCGGCAGCCTTGGAGACTTAATCCCGTTAGCAGCAGAGCTCCCTGCCGCGCAGCGGGGGCGCTTTCTCCCGAGCCCCGGGCCCTCCGCAGGCCGAGGCAGGCCCCGCAGCTCTCCCTGGTCCGCACGGCAGGTCCCAGGGCTCCCCCTGCCCTCCTCGTCCCCTCCAGCGGTCCCCACCTATCTGGACTGCTGGGCGTCTCTCGTCTCCGAGGTCGGCTCAGGATAAGTGCGCTCTCGCCTGCCCTTGTCCCGTCCTGGAGAACAAACTCGCAGACCCTCTGCCTTGGGAGCCTTTCATGGCCACACGAGACAAGATGCCGTTTAGGGGTAAAACAGGCAAGCTCTGGGAAGGGGTGAAAACCTTCCGGCCTTGCGTCTTGGCCTGCCCAGGGCTGAAACTGTGCTCACAGGCAGGAGCGCACCAGCCTCCTCCTCCTTGCTGGCCTCCGCCTGGTGCCGAGCCCCGGTCCCTGCCTTCCGCCTCTGCCCCGCACACAGCGTCCTAGCATGACTGAACTCAATCGCAAGCGGCTGTTTGATTTCTGAGCGCCGCAAGCCCAGGCAGCGCACACTTCCCTAAGCCTCCGTCCCACGCAGCGCTCTTCCCTGCAGGGCCGTTCCTACAGCTCCTCGGTGATGTTTTCAAGACTACAGGGTTACTTTTCCACATAATTCAACATTCAAGTCCCAATTAAAAAAATCCCTGATCTTTTCCTCTAGGCCCTCCCCCCAGCCCCTTGGTTTCCAGGGCAACCGCGGCTACCCACTCTTCCCATCCTTCCAGAGATAGTGTATACAAAGCCAGGCCAGAGTTGACCACAGAGCAAACGTCGTACGCCGTCCCCTCTCCTTTTTCACGCGGCTGGAAGCGTGGTGTGGACACCATTGCTTTCTGTTCCGGCTGTGCTTGAGAGAGCGTGCGTGTGTGCACGTGCGTGTGTCTGGGTGGCAGTGACTGCACGTGATTACATGCACTTCCTCATTTTCTCGATGGTCCATTTATAGCTGAGCAGTGCTGACAGATATCTGGGCTGTGGTCCACGCCCTGCTCTTACAAACAATGCCAAGCTACGCCATCTTCGAAGGTGCCTGTCCCGGCGGTCGATGCCCGTCTCCCGGAGCGGATGGCGCAGCGGGTGACTCTTCATCATCACTCCAGACACCGCGGCACCATCACATGCAGCCCTGTCCTGGCCCAGACTGCTAAAGGACAGCACCGGGCCATTTACAGTTGCGCTGTTTTCTTTTTATTAGTACATGTTGGTGGTATGTGAAGTTTGCATTCATGTACAAGCACAGGACACGGTCAGTGTCTCTTCTTTTAAATCCTCTTCCCACCCACCCCCCTCCCTCCCCCTCTAAACCCCTTCCCCATTTTTGTGCTCGTTGATATTAATCTTAGCTCATGTTCCTGTATGTTTACATTCATTAAGGTCTTTAGGTGCCTGTACGTGGCGTATCTGTATCCCCCTTCCCCTGGCCCTTGGTCTCCTGGACCCTTCCCATTTGCAAGAGATCTGTCCCCCTGATTCCTTTTGTCCATGCTTTATTATGCTGTTTGTTTGTATTCTGTCTCACTCAAATGATACTCAGCTTGTATGTCCAATTTATTCCACTCAACATCATATTTTCCAGGTGCATCCACTTTCCTACAAATGTCTCAAAGCGGTCCTTCTTTATAGCCAAGTAATATTCCATTATGTATAGATACCACATTTGCTTTATCCATTTGTCTGTTGAAGGGTATACAGATTGCTTCCAGGATTGAGGTATTTTGAGTTGTGCTGATATAAACCTGGGTATGCATGTATCACTGTAGTACGATGTCTTTAGCTCTTTTGGAAAGTATCTAGAAGGGGAATAGCTAGGTTATATGGAATTTCTAATTTTAGTTCCTTGAGAACTCTCCATACTAGTTTCTGTAGTGGTTGTACTAGTTTACATTCCCACCGACAGTGTGGGAGAGTGCCCTTTTCACTGCAGCCAGCCAGCATTTGTTATTTTTTGACTTCTTAGTGATAGACATTTTTTCTGGTGTAAGATGGAATCTTAGTGTTGTTTTAATTTGCATTTCTCTAATAGCCGGCAATGTTGAACATTTCTTCCTATATCTATTGGCCATTTTTTTTTTTTTTTTTTGGTTTTTCTCCGGTACCAGGAACCGAACTCACGACCTTGCACTTGCCAGGCAGGCACTTTGCCGCTGAGCTAAATCCCCAGCCTCTTTCTTTCTTTCTTTCTTTCTTTCTTTCTTTCTTTCTTTCTTTTCTTTCTTTTGAGACAGGGTCTTGCTATGTAGTTCAGGCTGACTTTGAACTCACTATGAGGCCAAGACCGACCTCAAACTCACAGCAATCATCCTGAGTGCTGGGATTACAGAAGTGTGCCACATGCCCAGCTCTATACTTCCTCTTCTGAGAAGTGTCTGTTTATTTCACTTGCCCATTTCTTTCTTTCTTTTTTTTTTTTTTTTTTTTTGTGTGTGTACCAGGAATCAAACTTACAACCTCACGCTTGCCAGGCAGGCACTGTGGCACTGAGCTATATCCCTGGCCCTATTTGCCCATTTCTTGATTGGGTCTTTTATTTTAGGTGGTTTAATTTTTTTTGTGTTTTTTTTTTTTTTTTTTAACTTTGTTTCTTTTGGTACTGGGAATCGAACTTGTGACCTCAAGCTTGCCAGGCAGGCACTTATGCCGCTGAGCTATATCCCCTGCCCCAATAAATAAGCAGATCTGGGCTGGGGTGTCACTCAGTGGCAGAGAGCTTGCCTACCATGTGGGAGGCCCTGGGTCCGTCCCCAGCACTGGAAAACTACTCAGATCATATCATTCTTCTGCCTGAAGCACCAAAATTCCCCCTCTGCTTTGATTTTGTTTTATTTATTTATTTATTTAGGTACTGGGAATTGAATTTAAGACCTTGCACTTGCCAGACAGGTGCTTGTACTGCTGAGCTGTATCCCCAGCCCTAATTTTTTTGTGTGTGTGTTCTTTAAATATTCTAGATACTTGTCTTCTGTCTGAGGTATAGCTGGAAAAAACTTGTTCCCATTCTGTAGATTGTCTCTTCACTCTACTAAATTGCTGTGCAGAAGCTATTTAATTTGACATAATCCCATGTTTTACTTTTTGTGCAACTGGGGTTCTGTTTACAAAATCCTTTCCTTCAGCCTATGACTTCAGTGTTTATCTATTTATCTTCCATACTCAGTGTGTCTGTTTTAATGCTTAGATCCTTGATCCATTTTGATTTTGGTTTAGTACACGGTGAAGGATATGGGCTCAGATTTAGTCTTCTGCAAACAGTTTTCCAGTTTTTAGCACCTTTTATTGAATAAGCTGTCACTCCTCCAGTATAGCACCAGGTCATTTAAAGATATTTTCCTCATCAGTTGAACTACTCTTCTTTTTATAGAGATATTATCCCTATGTAGTGTTATTGTGTCTATTTT